GTACTAGCCTCGCCCACTCGTTATTTATTTTCTCAGAAGGTAGTACTAGCTAAGATAAGTCTTATTTTAGCAAATGACATATCTTCTGAGAAAATAGGGGCAAAATCAGGTTTATCTTAACAAATACCAGGACCGCCCACCCGCCCCCTATTTTTGCAGAGGATACGTCATTTGCCAAAATCAGTCTTATTTTATCAAGTACTAGCCCCGCCCACCCGGCCTCTATTTTCTCAGAGGATATGTCATTTGCCAAAATAAGGCTCATGTTAGCAAGTACTAGCCTCACCCATCCGTTCTTTATTTTCTCAGAGGGTAGTACTTGCTAGCACTTACTAAGATAAGTCTTATTTTGGCAAATGACAAACTCTGAGAAAATAGGGGCCACTTGATATATTAAGAATGATTTTGCCCCAATTAAACTTGTATAAACTTGTTAAATTTAAAAGGTGTTAAATTGTATATTTTCATAGTAAGGAGTTAAATTACTAAATCTGATTGGATATTTATTTTTTAACAACTCCACAGCACTTCCCTGGGTTTTGAAGTACCGTCCAACAAATACGGTTTATCTGAAAAATGATAAAATCCGATTGTGGGGGAATTTTATTTTCGTGATAACCTCTATAGAGTAAAAACAATATGGAAGGTACTAATCACAGTGTAATAGAAAAAAATAAGGGTCCATCTTCTTAAAAAAGGACAGTTGGGGGCCCGGAAACGATTAAATATTCTTAAAAAAAGACACTTGGGCCCCCCGAGAAGGTTTCGCATTCTTAAAAAAAAACATTGAGGGGCCTCGAGAAGGCTTTATATGTTTAAAAAAGACAATCGGGACTCCCGAGAAGGTATCACATTCTTAAAAAAATTGATCGAAAGTTATTTCGATTGAACTTCCCTTGCTCCTGAAGCACAATGAAACATCCAGCATTTTTGAGTTGAGTTTTTTCTTTACACAATTTTGTGACGACGTCATCAACATTTTTGCAAGAACACATATATTAACTTGGATTGGTGCAGTGTAATACTAAAAATAACAGTATTGTATTCCCAAAATTTTATGGGAAAATGGAGTGAGCCGTTCCTGATTTATTCAAGAAAATAAACTGACATATTAATTTTCTTTGAGCCACCTGTATAAACAAATCTAAAAAATATGAATGCAATAATAACTCACAAATAAAAACTCATAATATTTTGCACATTTCGGGTAGATTTAGGAATTTAACTCGTTATTATGGAAATTTGCACTTAAACACCTTTAAATTTCATAAGTTTTTACAAGTAGTAATAGGGGCAAAATCAGTTTTATCTTAACAAATACAAGGAACGCCCACCCGCCCTCTATTTTCCCAGAGGATATGTAATTTTCCAAAATCAGTCTTATTTTACGAAGCACTAGCCCCGTCCACCCACCCCCTATTTTCTCAGAGGATATGTCATTTGCCAAAATAAGACTTATGCTAGCAAGTACTAGCCCCGCCCACTCGTTATTTATTTTCTCAGAAGGTAGTACTTGCTAGTTCTTGCTAAGATAAGTCTTATTTTGGCAAATGACATACCTTCTGAGAAAATAGAGGGCGGGTGGGCGGGCCTAATACTTGCTAAGATAAGACTGGTTTTGACTAATGCCATACCCTCTGAGAAAATGGGGGCGGGTGGGGCCAGCACTTGTTAAGATAAGACTGATTTTGCCCCAATTATACTTGTAAAAACTTGTTAAAATTAAAAGGTGTTAAATTGCATATTTCCAAAGTAACGAGTTAAATTCCTAAATCTGATTGACTATTTATGTTTTAACAACGCAGTGATTAATTTTTCTGAGACACCCTGTATAAGCAAATTCAAAAAATGTTAATTATATATTAAAAATAAATCACAAGTATAGACTCATCATATTTTGCACATTTCGGGTAGATTTGGGAATTTAACTCGATACTATGGAAATTTGCAATCTAACACCTTTAAATTTCACAAATTTTTACAAGATTAGTAGGGGCAAAATCAGTTTTATCTTAACAAATACTAGGCCCGCCCACCCGCCCCCTATTTTCGCAGAGGATACGTCATTTGCCAAAATCAATCTTATTTTGTCAAGTACTAGCCCCGCCCACCCTGCCCCTATTTTCTCAGAGGATATGTCATTTGCCAAAATCAGACTCATGTTAGCAAGTACTAGCCTCGTCCATCCGTTCATGATTTTCTCAGAGGGTAGTACTTGCTAGCACTTGCTAAGATAAGTCTTATTTTGGCAAATGACCTAAACTCTGAGAATATAGGGGGCACTTGCTAAATTAAGACTGATTTTGCCCCAATTAAACTTGTAATAACTCGTTAAATTTAAAAAGTGTTAAATTCTATATTTTCATAGTAACGAGTTAAATTCCTAAATCTGATTGGCTATTTATGTTTCAACAACTCAGTTATTGATTTTTCTGAGACAGCCTGTATAAGCAAATTCAAAAAATATTAATTATATATTAGAAATAAAGCACAAGTATAGACTCATCATTAGGGTGATTAAAAAAAAAAATATATTTTTTTTTTCGTGCAAAGAGGTTCAAAAGTTTCTTTTCAACGTAAAAAAATACCAGTTAAAATTTGAGCTCTTAATATTAACATTAAGACCGTCCGCATCGCGTTTTTCTATTTCCCATAAGAATAACATGGGAAAATTTTTGTTTGCACCTTCTGATTTTTATTGCTAGCCCGTCGTGTGTCGTGAAAAAAATTCAATCACATATTTTTATAGAGAATTGAACGCTCTACAAAAAGTGTCTCCTATGATTGTGCGAGAAACCTGATAGTTGAAGAGTTATTTTAGGCTAAAGTTAAATTTATCCAAATTTTGACGTTTTTGATGCATTACAATAAATTTGATGGTCTTATTGGAATAAATCACCACAAAAATTTATACACATTTTAAATTTAGTTTTTTAAACAGTAATTGTTTATAATTTTATGCTATAATAAGGCCAGTAAAACTCTTTCCGAACATTTTCAGCATCAGTGGGTTAAAAAATCATAGTCAGGTTTCTCGCAAAATCATAGGAGACACTTTTTGTAGAGCGTTCAATTCTCTATAAAAATATGTGATTGAATTTTTTTCACGACACACGACGGGCTAGCAATAAAAATCAGAAGGTGCAAACAAAAATTTTCCCATGTTATTCTTATGGGAAATAGAAAAACGCGATGCGGACGGTCTTAATATTAATATTAAGAGCTCAACTTTTAACTGGTATTTTTTTACGTTGAAAAGAAACTTTTGAACCTCTTTGACACGAAAAAAAAAATTATTTTTTTTTTTTGAATCACCCTACTCATCATATTTTGCACATTTCGGGTAGATTTAGGAATCTAACTCGATACTATGGAAATTTGCAATCTAACACCTTTAAATTTCACAACCTTTTACGAGATTAATACGGGCAAAATCAGTTTTAGCTTAACAAATATTAGGACCGCCCACCCGCCCCCTATTTTTCCAGAGGATACATCATTTGCCAAAATCAGTCTTATTTTATCAAGTACTAGCCCCGCCCACCCGGCCCCTATTTTCTCAGAGGATATGTCATTTGCCAAAATAAGACTCATGTTAGCAAGTACTAGCCTCGCCCATCCGATCTTTATTTTCTCAGAGGGTAGTACTTGTTAGCACTTGCTAAGATAAGTCTTATTTTGGCAAATGACATAAACTCTGAGAAAATAGGGGGCACTTGCCAAATTAAAACTGATTTTGCCCCAATTAAACTTGTAAAAACTTGTTAAATTTAAAAGGTGTTAAATTGTACAATTTCATAGTAACGAGTTAAATTCCTAAATCTGATTGGCTATTTATGTTTTAACAACTCAGTCATTAATTTTTCTGAGACACCCTGTATAAGCAAATTCAAAAAATATTAATTATATATTAAAAATAAATCACAAGTATAGACTCATCATATTTTGTACATTTAAGATAGGGTATATTCAGCAATATTTTGAGGTGACGTCATCAATTTCTAGGGGGGATGAACAAATACATTTTGATCAAAAATTTACCATGCTTATGATAACTTTAAAACATCTCCAAGATTTCAAAAAATTCGGTTTTGCAGTCCTGATTAAATCAGTAAAATAAATTCACGCATTCGTTAATTTTTTTGAGGCACTCTGTATGTGCAAATCCAAAAAGTATGGATAGAATGATAAATCACACATACAGACTCATCGTATTTTGTACATTTTAGGTAGGATTTTTCGGCAAACTTTTGAGCTGATGTCATCGATTTTTTAGGGGGGATGAGCAAATACATTATGATCAAAAATTGATCATGCTTATCATAACTGTAAACCATCTGTAAGATTTCAAAGCATTCGGTTTTGCAGTTTCAAAATTAAATTGCAAAATTAATGTTGCTTCATAATTTTGACATTTTTTTCCAAAAATCTGGACGTTTCGGGTAAAAACTTAAACTGCATGTGTAGGACTATGTATTATCAAAATGTATTTTTCTTTCGTAGGTTAAGTACAATTAACTAATAATAATTTAATTAATTTCGTAGCAAAAAGTGAACAGCACCGTCCATTTACACTCACTCCTGATGTACAATCAATTCAGTAGTTTCGGCAATTATACAATATACCACGGAGTTGAATAACTCGTCCCCTGATTAAGAAAATAAATTAACGTTCCGTGGTATTTATGCCACTGATATGCCAAGAAAATAAAAATTTAAGTGCTTTTCCTGTTTGAGCAACCAACAACGACAGCTTAATCATTAGTTTTTAGTTCAACCTTAAACTACTATCATCATTATCGTATCAGTAACTCAAAGCAAACGTGTATAAAACACCGTTCATTTTTCGAAAAGAAAAAAAAAAAAAAAACAACCACGTGTTAACGCTCCGAAAGCAATCGTCTAGAATTCATTATCACTTCTTTCTTGACCTTGTAGATTAAAAAAAAAGAACTGCTTTACATAAACTGCACTATCCTACTCCACATTATTAGCAAATCATTTCTTCAGTATTTAACAACAAAACGCTTTCGCACTTATTGCATTTCGTAACAGATATAACTTCAGTCAGCGATTTCTTTACTTAAGTCAATGAAAGCAATTAAGCGGTCGTAATCAGTGCATTGTAGCGACATCCACCTCTTACCATTATTCATTTTGTAACTTCATGTCGAACGAAGCTACTCAAAAAAGTGTAGTCAACGCAATTGTTCGCATTTTAATTAAAAATGCTAATAAAAGCATAACCTTGTTGAGTGTGTATTGTTTTGGAGCGAAGTCAGCACTTTGTTATACCCACTTTTAAACCAGTTGGGTGAGGATCACCAGGTGAGATACTTTAATCAACAAACATTTTGAATAAGTAATTGAAATTTTATTAGATTGTATTTTTGAGGTGATTGTTAAAATGCCGGTTGAATACGGGTTCAAAGCACAAACCATCATCGATGAGGGAAGGACCACCCAGGATGCCATCAATGAGATTAAAAAGTGGCTGTCAGAAACCAAGTTTCCTGAAATTCCCGAAGAAATGATTGCTCTGTTTCTTTTGTCTTGCCAGAATGTCATTAAGGATACGCAAAGAACTATAAAAGCGTACTTTAAACTTAAAAGTGGTGCACCTGAGATGTTCACTGGTCGGGATATAAACAACGAAGAATTACAGAAGGCCTCAAGAGTAGTGTGAGTTTTTGTTTTTTATAAGTTTTAGCCTTAAAGTGCTACAATTCAGAATTTTCAATAAATATTTTAAATCATATAACCGTTTTGTACGTAGACAACTGATGACGTCGTCACAAAATTTTGCCAAGTTTTTTATAAAACGTACGAAAAATGTGATCTCCGTTTCCGCATATCTGTCGTCTGTGTCCGTTTTTATTATTTATTTATGAGACAATATATTACTATGCTTGTAGTTTATGAGTCTGCCTTGATTTTGTACCTATATTATAATTATATTTTCTTATTATTTAATTCGTGTTGTTTCAGAAAATTTGAGAATTAAATTATTACTAAATTAAGTAGGTAGTCTCTTAAACTTTTGTATGATGTTATAACCTAAATTGTACTTTCTTTTCATTTCTGTGTCAAGTTACGACCTACTTTTCGGCCAAATTTGTTTTGTCAACAAATTCTTAGGTGACTAGATCAGAAATTCTACTTCAAACTAAAATATTATAATACTCGTAATATAATATTTTTATTTTTCTAATTTTTCGAAAAAGTTGAAATTGTGGAATGTACTGTGTAAATGACTGGACCATTTTTTTTTGTATGAGGAACATTTTGTGTTTTCTTTAAATACAAAATGCTAACAAGTATTTTTGTGCATTCAAGATTTGAGGCCAAGTCTCAAACAAGCAGAAAAAATAGTAAATAACTGTGACCGTCGTCCATTTCCGCTTCCTGTTCTGAGTTCATGGTTTTATGGAAAAATGCGTTTGTGTCGATGCAAAATCTAGTCCTCGATAGTTAACAATCGATTGATATTTGGAAGTGTATGGTTACTGTGGGTGACACTCTATTCAGAACTTCTTATACAGAATGACTCAAAAAATTAATGAATGAGGAGATGTGTTTTATATTTTAAATCAACACTGTCTTTGTAAGTATTACACTCCACCTATTATATCCAAATTGATGTAAGTGTCCTTGCTAGAATGTTCATGACGTCATCATCACAAAATTTTGTAGTTGAAAAATCCGAATAATTTACCTACTTTTACTATACACATACCTTTTTTTTAATTTTTAGGGGTTATCATATAAAAAAAATAAAATTCTCACAATAGAATTTTAAAAATTTTCTAAAAAGTTGGACCAACAACGAAATTTTGAAAAAACGTGAAATTGGCCGTTCTAATTTCAATTCAAACTCAAATTTTTAGAGGAATTATGGGGTTTTGTTGCTGGATGAACTTGAAAAAGTCTTTGGAGTTTCTAGTGTTTTATTTTTTATGAATTTGAAAAAGTCTTGAGTGCCGCAGTGTTTTTTTTTTTAATTCGGGAGACTCTTGGGCACCCATGGTGTATTATTTTGGGAGCCCATGGAGATTTTTTTTGTAAATTATTTAAAACAATTTTAGGGGACTTTGGTGTTCTATTTTTGGAAAATTCTAACTTGACCTGTTTTTGAGTTAATTTTGGGACCCCGTTTTTTTTTTTGAAAAATTTGAAACAACAATCTTTGCCATGGTCAGTTTTATCTTAGCAAGTACTAGCCCCACCCACCCACCCTCTCTTTTCTTAGAGGGTATGTGATTTGCCATGGTCAGTTTTATCTTAGCAACTACTAGCCCCGCCCACCAACCCTCTCTTTTCTTAGAGGGTATGTGATTTGCCATGGTCAGTTTTATCTTAGCAAGTACTAGCTCCGCCCACCCCCCCTCTCTTTTCTTTAACAAAAAATGATTAAAATTTGGAAACATTGCGAGGTTACTTATGCGCACAAGACAGGAATTTTGAACATCTTCTTTAGTGTTTAGATGGTTATGCTTTAATGGATTTTTTTTGTTGGTTTTGTTTTTGTTTATAATTTATAAATGTCTTTTAAATATTTTTTTTGCTTTATTTAATAATGAAAAATAACATATTGTTGTATTAAAAATAATGCACAACGATTAATGACTATTGGTTATTATGGTTATTGTCCTAAAAAAAAAAAATAAAAGGTGGATATCAGTCACCATAGTTACTAAGAAATCACGCATTAGGTGCGTGCAGTGTTGCGAATTTTACTTTTATAACATTAACTCTTTTGCGTAATCTACATCATAAAGAATTTTTTGATAATTTTTTTGGGATTCCCGAAACCCCCGTACATAACGTACTGAAGAGTTAATCCGCCATTTTCCAGACACCCAGTATAGTAATCGAGTCCACCATGACCCCTAAAGTACGAAAATATAGGACTCTTGTTTCCGTCTGTCTGTTTGTCTGTCTGTCTGTCTGTCCACCGTCTGTGTCGATTTTTGTTAGATAGATAATCTTCAAAACTACCAGACCGATTGTTGTAAAATTTTATATATGTTTTATGTATATCATGTAGACGATAACACACTAACCAATTTTTGTCTAAGCATCCCAACCAACAATGTCACCGCAAAATTGTACATACTAAATAGGTTTTAAAATGTTTAAAAATATATTCCTACATGTGTTGTTTATGAATCCGTGTTGAGTTTTATCAGAGACTTACAGATTTTTGAAAAAAAATCAGAACTGTGTAACAACATTTTGCAATTTAATTTTGAACCTGCAAAACCGAAAGCTTTGAAATCTTGCTTTAAAGTGATCGTAAGCATGGCAAATGTTTATCAAAATATATTTGTTTATTGCTCTGAAGAAATTGATGACGTAATCTCAAAATGTTGCCAAATAGATCCTAACGAAAATGTGATGAGTCTTATGATTTCTCATAAAAAAAAAATCGTAAATTCTGCACAAATGTGCTTAGTTTTTTATTTTTTGAAACACTATTTAAAAACCTTTAAAAATATATGGGTCTTTGATAGTCTCTTTTATTGCGCTTTCGATATTACCTGACGTAAATTTTATGTTTTTGTGCTAAGAAAAAAGTTGATTTTAATGATGTTTTTAAGCAAGTTGTTTCCACGTTTTTAACCGATGGAAATTTTGGTGATTTAGATTGTTGTTATCAACACTTATTTGTCCGTTTTCTTGTTTCCTTTTTACCGGAGCATGGATATTTAACTTGTTTGTCCTCTAAATACTCAGACTTATATTTCAGAACAATTAACGACATTGCATTTTTTCAAATGAATTATTTTGTTCATTTAACAGGAAATTTTCTTACCTGACAAGTAACTATGTGTTTAATAACAACAATATTTTTAATATAAAATCGTGATATGTGGTAAAAACGAGTTCTTGACAGAGATAAACACATTTACTACCACTTAGAACGCAGTTTTTATATAATTTCAGGTTAATAAAGTCTGTGCATACTAAATGAGCAAAATATTCAAATTAACGTTTTTAAAAGAGTGGAAAAATTGTATGCATTTTTTTAACTATAAAACGAAATAAATAATTTAGTAAATAAATTATACGACACTGATGGCGGTTGATATCAAACAAATGTGCAAAAAAAAATTATTTTTCTGTGTACTTAAATGTTGAGAATTTTGTATCCTTGAGTTGGCCAAGTTATTAAACTCACACGATAAATGTTTACGATCTGAAATTTGAATAATAGTTTTCCGAATTTCCGTAAAAATTGTATGTAATTTACAAACAAGCGATTTATCGACCTGTAATCTTGATTATGAGAAATGTAGTAAGATAATTACAGCACTTGTCGCAAGGTCATGGAATGTAGGAAACATTCAAAATCACTCACATCAAGGATTGCAAACTTTCGTACAATTGCAAAGGAACTAAATTTTTGAAAAGTTGCGTACATACATGGACTTCCTTAAATCCTTAAATCCTTAAATGTTTGTAATAATTTATAGAACCGTCTTAACAAAAGCGACTGAGAGTCAAATGGCGCCACACGTGACGTTGAACAATTTACACATAATGTAAGTTAAAATTCAAATTGCGTTAAATCTAGGTAAGGAAATAACAAATGGTAGTAGGAGTACATTCAACATTACGTTGTAGAATTAAATCGTGACCACTTACAGTTTATCAAAAATGTTGATCTTGTTTACCCACACAGAAAGACAACTAAATTTATTTACAAAGAATTTAGTAACGTAGGTAACACATGCACTTGCATACAAACGCGGTTTTCTAAAAGATTTATGGAGTCATTTTTATGTTAACGTGAATCATATTTCAACGCATATACATTGTAACACAATGTTTATTGAAACTAAGTAATTGCATAACCGATAAAATAAATTAAATAAATTGGTTAATACATTATTTTGTATACAAAGTAAGTACGTAGTCATAAAAAATAAATGATAGATGCCAGCAAAAGTCTGTCATGACGTATGTTTCAGTATACATATTGTTACGAAATAAATCCATATGCTGCCCCTGTACGACGTCTATGGGTCTTCTAGTATGTATGTATGTAAGGAAAGCCGGGAAGCGGATGTCATGATGGTCTTAGAAAACCCTCGAAGCGGCGTTCCGAATCGATCGAGAGGCACGTATAGGTTTAAATAGGGGCACCGTCGGGAACGATGATTATTCAGTAAATCCAGTCCACGAGAGAATAGTCAAGTTGCGCTAGAATTGTTTTGTACATAATCGCTGTGAAATAATCAGACGTGTAAATTGGAGTTATCGTGAAATAATTTGTTGAGTTTAACCCACGCCGATTTTATTCACCCGTTCAACGTAACACTGGTGCCGGAAGTGAAATTTGAGATTAATAACAGGTTTTTTTATGCCTAACGAGACGAGAGTTCACGCTGCGAAAATGGAGAGACAAGTAAAGCAGATGATGGCTGTGCTCGCACAGAAGGACGCAAGAAATAAAGAAATGAAAGAAGAAATGGGCGCGAGAATGGAAAAAATGGATGCAAGAGGCGAACAAATGAACGCAAAAATGGAAAACAATGAAGAGCAAATGGACACAAGGAACAAAGAAATGGACGAAAAGATGGACGCAAGAAACAAGGAAATGAACGAGAAGATGGACGCAAGAAACAATGAAATGGGCGAAAAAATGGACTCAAGATTGGACAAATGATGGACGCAAAAATAGAGAAGCAAAAAGATGACATAATCACAAGTCTGACTAAGAAATTCCAAACAATAATGAAATAGAAGTAATCAAAGAAAACGAAGGTCGTAAAAACAAATTTGAAAAATATGGGAAATATTGTAGGACAAAATATGATCTCAATGGAGCATCAGTTGAAGAGTGAGTTAGAAAAATCAGTGTCATGTATAGAAGATCGAATGGGAAACAAAATGGAAGATCGAATAAAAACTATGGAAGATCGAACGGAGAGTAAAATGAAGAAATTTGAAAAATAATTAAAAATGCATCAACATCTGGTTCGTATAATGATAGTCAGATGCCTTGGTCATCATACAAGAAGCAGTTCGAAGCAGCAGCGACGGCAAATTCCTGGGAAGAAGAACAAAAAGCGTCAGTATTCGTAATAGCTTTGTGAGGTGCAGTGATGGAGATACTCCAAACTCTCTCCGAAGAAGGCAGAAACAGATACAGTGCCCTAACTGCTACTCTGGAGCTTCGATTTGGGGATGAACATCTGAGACAGATTTTTGCAGCCCAAGCGAAGACAATAATCCAGAAAGTTGGAGAATCTCGTTAAGAATTTGATGCAGATGTCAACAGACTCGTACGTCTTGCATACTCCAACGCACCACCAACTTTTCAAGATAGACTTGCGACAGAAATCTTCCTGAATGGGATTCGCGACGTTGAGGTTAAGAAGGTCCTACAACTATCAAGGTATCAGACATTATCGGAGGCCTTAATTCGTGCGCTGGAAGTGGAGGCGGCGTACAATTCTTCAACAACCTGCCACAAAGTTAAAGTGGTAGAACTAGAGATAGAAGAAAACGACGGAATAAAGCAGATACTGGAAAAACTGTCACAACAAATGGATGAAGAACACGACACACAGTCAGATTGTAGACCGTGACTGGAGAGTCAACCACCAATCATGGGTGAAGTAGAGGTAGAAATCTGCATTGGTCAGCTGAAGATAAAACATCGGGCTCTCGTGGCTAACATTGAAGACGGCTTTATTTTGGAAATTGATTTGATTAGTTGCCATGGATTGACCGTTGATCCAGCAGAGAAAGTCCTACGTCTTGTAAATGAAGAGATTCAGTACTGTGTCTGAATCAGCACAGTATTGAATCCATGCCAGAATGTGAAAGTTAGAGGGAATGCAGAAACAATTGTCCCACTCAGAGCAGAAGTCAAACCCGGAATTGCCCTAAGCATTATTCAACAACCGCACACCCCCATGAAAAATCTCATGATTGCGAGTGGTTTAATTAATACCGATTGCGACGTACCAGTACGCGTCGCAAATGTTTTCCCCAAAGTCATGCACATCAAAAGTGGGGACGTTCTTGCCGTCTGTGAACCAGTCACAAAGATTTTTCATCGCAACGAAGATCTTTCTGGTAATAGTCATGAAGGAATGAAAAGAAACTTAGAAATTCCTGCCCTAGAGCTTGAACCGAACATAAGCGGAAAGTCGCAAGAGAGTTTTTACAGGAACACAGTGGAACGTTTGCATCTGGGGGCACAAACATAGTAGAACATCGGATAAACACTAGAAACGCTCAACCGATCCGTCAAGCCCCGTGAAGACTACCTTTGGCGAAACAAGAGGAAGTCGAGGAAATGGTACGGAAAATGCCGGACGAAGGCATTATTGAGGAGTCAAACAGTCCATGGTCTTTGCCTGTAGTGCTAGTCACAAAAAAAGGGTGGACGCGATTCTGCGTAGATTACAGGAAAACTAAACGATATAACCAAAAAGGACAGTTACCTTCTTCCACGAATTGATGACATGCTCACAACATTATCAGGATCCGCCTGGTTCTCCAAATTGGATCTCAACAGTGGCTATTGGCAAGTTTGTATGCATCCAGTTGATAAGGAAAAGACCGCTTTTTCTGCCGGAAGCGGCTTGTACCAATTTATCGTAATGCCTTTTGGACTTTGTAACGCCCCAGCTACTCCTCTTCCAAAAAGAAGTCGAATTTCTGGGGCATACTGTTTCGGCAAACGGGATCGAGACTACCAGAACGAAAATCAGGGCAATTCGCGATAGGCCAAGACCACAAGATAAGCACGAAGTCCGGAGTTTCTTAGTAGGATTGGGCACGTACTACAGAAGATTTGTCATCGGGTTTGCCGATATTGCTGTTCCATTGCAGAGGCTGACGTATTTGAAGTCTCAGTTTAATTGGATTGCTGAATGTGAGGCAGCCTTCAAAGTAGGCGCTGTATTGTCACAGGTGCCGGACAAGGAAGAAAAAGCCATCGAGTACTTTAGCAGCGTACTTTCCAAACCCGAAAAGAATTACTGTGCTACGAAGAAGGAGTTGTTGGCAATTGTCAGAGCTCTTGAGCACTTCTGTTGTATCTTTCTGGACGCGAATTTTTGAACCGATCATCTAGCCCTCACATAGCTCCTTTAGATGAAGAATCCTGAAGGACAAGTGTCTAGATGGCTTAAACGACTCCAACAGTATCACTTCAAAATTCAAGACAGGGCTGGTGAGCTCCACAATAATGCAGACTCTTTGTCGAGAAGACTGTGACGGGGTCCAACTGTGCAAGAACAGCAGTCATCGAAGATGAAGAATGGACTACAGACCAGATTAGAAACGACTAAGAGGAGGACGTGGATATTGGGCCGGTGCTCAAATGGGGTAGAACGATCAGTTTGGTCGGAAATATCAGACAAGTCACGCTCTTTCAAAGCGTTATGGACTCAGTGGAACTCCCTGCGTGTCGAGAACGGATTGGTTAAGCGAGCTTGGTAGAGTCCGGATGGGAAACATACCACCATGCAGTTGGTGGTTTCGGCCACTAGAACCAAGGAAGTATTTCGAGAAATGCATAACGGCGGTTCTGGTGCTCATTTTGGAATCGACAAGACGCTTTCTAAAGTCAGGGAGAGATTCTATTGGGTCCAGTGCCGACAAGATGTCAAGAACTGGTGCAAAATGTACGACAATACAACCTCGGCTCCCCGTTCGAAAGAATTGCAGTGGACATAGCAGGTCCTTTCCCGGTGACCGAAAACCCGAATAAGTACATAATGGTCGTCGTCAGCGATTACTTCAGCAAATGGCCCGAAGCTTATGCCATACGGAATCAAGAAGCCACGACGGTTGCAACAACGCTGATTGACAATTGGATCACCAGGTTTGGGGTTCCAATGGAACTCCAATAGGACAAGGCAGAAACTTCGAGTCAAACCTATTCCAAAGGGTTACTGAAGTACTAGGGATACGGAAAACACGGACTACGCCGTTGCACCCGCAGTCAGATGGAATGGTAGAACGGTTCAATCGTACCATGGAAGAACATCTTTCGAAGGTGGTGGCCGAAGATCAGAAAGATTGGGATCGATATCTGGCTTATCGATCCGCTGTCAATGACGTACATGACGGGTCAGACACCGGCGTGCATAGTTTTCGGAAGAGAACGTCGTCTACCTTGTGACGTATTGTTCGGTTCTCCGAGTGAAGAACCAAAGGAGGTCATAGATTACGTCGATGACTTGAAGGGGAAACTACTGAGCGTTCACGAAACGGTACGCCACAAGATCCGGGTCGCGAATGACAGAATGAAAACATGGTCGTTGCCCGAAGTTGTTACCAGACTGGGAAGGTCCCTATACTGTCGTGAGGAGAATCAACGATGTCGTTTATAGAATTCGACGAGGGCCAAAGACGTGACACCGTTGATGTTTCTGATCGAGACGATCAGAACTAAGGAGGGAGCAGTGTTACGAAATAAACCTATACACCGCCCCGGTACGAGGTCTATGGGTTTTCTAGTATGTGCGGCGATGATGGGTGGCGTTCGCATAAAGACAAGTCTGAAGCTGGTTATCGGAAGTCTCGATTGCGGGATCCAGAAAACCCTAGAAGCGGTGTTCGCGATCCCGCTAGAGAAATGTATGGATTTAAATAGAGACCACCGTCGGGACCGATTATGCAGTTAACGAATCGAGCCGGAATTTATTTTGTACATTATCACTGTGTAATCAGTAGTGTAAATTTGAGTTATTGAGAAAAAATAGTTTGTTGAGTTTAACCCACGCCGATTTTAAATACCCGTCCACGTAACAGTATATTCGGTTGCTTACTTGGTCTCCGAAAATAATTACTTTGAAATCGTCCAATGTGACACAAAATTATATTAATCGTCATTTGAGACATTCTATCGAAGCATTTAAAAAATACCGCCATATTTTTGAATGTTAAGAAATAATGCATTTCCAAGCATAATAATTCTTTAATGCTGTTTTGTTTGGGTTAACGTCCTGAGTTTTTTGAAGGCAATAAATAATTCAATTCTAGTTGATATTTTATAGCTTTTATATTAGTCCTAATTCGAAAATTGGAATATTTATAACAAAATCAAAAGTATTGCTTCCGTAGTTGTAAATTTAAAGCGAATTAACTACATATAATAAACATTTTGTTTTACAGAAGCTGCATTAGCATCCCCAAAAGGATGAGCAACAACACGGTCATTCACTTTTTCAAAATCAACGACCCAAATTACCAGAATTTTGACTGGCTGCTTTCCATGAAGCTAGCTTTTATGTTACTAGATATCAGCCAAAGAACAAATCCTCCAAGTGAGCTCGTGGTGATCATCGACATGAAAGGCGTAAGTATTTTATTTTTTTTACTAGAGTTTTCTTACAAAAACTGTATAACTAGTAGTGTAGATTTTCTCGAAACTAAAGCTCTTATAACATCGTCAACGTACATATTTTAAATAAGTTTATTTTTCAGGTAGGTTTCATGCATCTCACCCGTTTTAAAATCGGAGCTGCGAAAACGTTTCTAGAATTTCTACAAGAAGGGATGCCCCTCAAAATAAAAATGATACATATTATCAACAGTAACTACATTTTTGACAAAATTTTATCCATAGCTAGGATGTTCATAAAAAGCGAACTAATGGCAATGGTGAGTACATAACAACCAAATATTATTGTTTTCGCTTATTTTGCAAGTTTTAGTTAAAATCATATCCAGCTGATACCGATATAACACAATTTCAGAAAGAACACATTCCAGCAAGTTTCTTACCCAAGGATTATGGCGGAGACTTGCCTAGCAGTCTAGAATTAAACGAAAACACGATACAGCAATTTAAGGAATTGAAAGTATTTTTCGAGTCTGAGGAAAAACTAATAAGTTATTATAAATAAATTGGTGCACTTAATGGATCTGTAAAAATCTGATTTTTACTATGTATTTTTTATTTCCTTGTAGCACTTTATTTGTTCTTCCAGTTGGGCATAAACCAAGTTTAGCTTTGACATTTTTTGGTACGTCTCTTCTGCCAGAACACTGAGAGTCGATAAAGTTCCTGTGTAGTCTTTAGGCAAGCAAGATTTGGGTAAACTTCCAAAAATGTCTTCAGAGTTTAGGCCATTCGGATAAAACTTGATCTAAAAAAAGTATTCAAAAAGAAACCACTAAAAGTAATGACAGTTACGTACCACATCATATAGTTCTTTTCCCAAGAACGGTTTCAATATGGCAATAACTTTGTCGATAAAATTTACAGTGTTCAGAACATGAACTTCCTCGATTTTGAAAGGTACACATTCTTGGATAAAGTAGAAAAATTTTTGCAAAGCATTTAACCTTAATTTTGTCAAATGTAGAAGTCCGATGCCTTTCATATCGACTACTACTATTACTCCGTCCACAGGACCGTCATAGAGGAAACATTCTAAAGCCATACAACATAATTTTATGAGCTGATCCAAGTGGAAACGAGAATAAGACGTGTTTCTTAATTTACCACATGCCACAACTCTATTGTCTGGCGTTCTTTCAGGAATCACAGCTATGTCACTACAAAAAATATAAAAAAACTAGATTATAGTTTATCATGTTGAAAATTACTACTAGACGGTCCTCGCTTCTTGTATGTCTTCGGCATCCAAGTCCAATTTGGTGAAAAGTTCAGGTGTTTTGCTCTTGCACTGGAAATATTTCAGAATTGTGTTTTGTGCTTGCTCCATATTTGTTGTATATGACAGGAACAGAAGTAGTTGTTCCTCACTCAAATGTGGCAATTTTTGGTCACTGCACCATTTTCTAAATCGGATTACTGTTTCTTTGTCGATGTTTTTTTTACTGCAAATTGCACTCGCGTTACAGTGATACAAGGTTGTCATTGTAAGACCAAACTAAACTAAATTAGTTAATAATAGAAGCTAACGGTCATTTATAGAAAAGATTTTTGTTTACTAACATTCCAAGGAACTTTTATTGAAACATTTTTTGCTACGTTGCTCGTTTTGAAGGTGAATTCATTGAATCAGGTGACCTGTTCCTATAAAACTTAATGGACTGTCTTAATTGTTTTATCACTAAAGTAGTAATCTGTAAATTTATTTGATTGTTGTTTATAGCTTTTTACTTACCGAGCGTAAGCAAAGGAAGTATTGTAATCGAGTCCGTCGGCCGACTCTCTACTTTTACGTTTTCTCGATCTTTCATGACCCCTAGAAGACGAAGAAATAGGTCTCCCATTTCCGTCTGTCTGTCAGTCCGTCTGTCCGTCTGTCTGTCTGTCCGTCTGTCCGTCTGTCCGTCTGTCCGTCTATCCGTCTGTTTGCCGTCCCGGATTTTTATTAGACAGATAATCTCCGAAAGTACTAGACCGATTGTTGTGAAATTTTGTAGTTATATTAGGAATATCATGTAGATGGTGAAACGCTGAGCAAAATTTGTCTAATCATCCCCACCACTAATGTGATGACGTCACTTCAAAATTGTACATAGTAAATGGGTTTTAAATTGTATAAAATAATATAGTCCTAAACATGTAGTTTACGACTCCGAATTGAGTTTTTACCCGAAACGTCCAGACTTTTGGAAAAAAAATCAAAATTATAAAACAACATTTTGCAATTTAATTTTGAATCTGCTAACCCGAATATTTTGAAATGTTGCAGATGTTTTAAGGTTCTAAAGGGCATCATAAATCTTTAGTCAAAATATATTTGGTTATCCCCTCCAAAAACTTGATGACGTCAGCTCAAAAGTTTGCCGAATAAATCCTATCTAAAATGTACAGAATATGATGAGTCTGTACTTGTGATATATCACTCCATTCATATTTTTTGTATTTGCATATACAGGGTGACTCAAAAAAATTAATGAATGCGTCAATTTATTTTATTGATTTAATCAGGAATTACAGAACCGAATGCTGTGAAATCTTGGAGATATTTTAAAGTTATCATAAGCATGGTAAATTTTTTATCAAAATTTATTTGCTCATCCCCTCCTAAAAAAATTGATGACGTCACCCTAAAATTTGGCTATCTAAAATGTGAAAAATATGATGAGTCTGTACTTGTGATTTCTCATTCCATTCATATTTTTTCGATTTGCATATACAGGTTGATTGAAAAAACTTAATGAATGCGTCAATTTATTTTATTGATTTAATCAGGATTTACAGAACCGAATGCTTTGAAATCTTGGAGATATTTTAAAGTTATTATAAGCATGGTAAACTTTTGTTCAAAATGTATTTGTTCATCCCTCCTAAAAAAATTGATGACGTCACCCTTAAATTTTGCTGAATAAATCCTATCTAAAATGCAAAAAATATGATGAGTTTGTACTTGTGATTTGTCTATCATTCCATTCATATTTTTTAGATTTTCTTAAGAGGTGGTTCAAAAAAATTAATGAAGTTAATTTATTTTATTGATTAAATTAAAGGCAACACTTATTATTAGTATTACATTGGACCAACCCAATTTGGTAGACACAAAAATTTTTAAAGTAAAAACTTGTTTGAAACATAAGGGTAGCACGCTTATTTACATCGACTTTAACATTACAGACGTGCATTTGTTTTGTGCGCTGTCTAGGTTCCGCGAATGTGGAATAGACATGTTTATAATCAACCAATTGTAAATTCCACCGTCAAAAATTAAAATAAAACCCAATGTTTTATATAATAAGCGGAAGTCGAAGCAATAAAACCGATGGTCGTTTTGTTTACAGTTTCTCTGTTTGACTCTCACGTATGCTGTTTCGCTTGTCATCTTAAATTAAGAATGCTTATACATAAACGATTTTCAGTTGCCTCTCACCGGCGCCGTATACGTGAGTAAATTGTTTAGGATTCCTTTATTTTGAGGAGGTAAAATCATTCAAATTCTTCCGCTTATTCTGATCAACAAGCTTGGTACATACTTAATTCTTGCATTCTTTCCATGTAAAAACATAAACAATTGAAGTTAATCGTGTACTGCTAGAGCTTTACCAACTCAAGATCTTACCCTACGCACTTAAACCAACTTAAACTTAACTTAAACATGCTTTAAATATCTTGACGTGAAAACAAGATTACGTATAATCAGAAAATATCATCTCAATTGTAATGATTTTTTTTATTCGTCATGAGCAGGGGGGCGGAGTTTAATTGTAAAATCCTTATTTCTCTACAAGAAATTACCATCTGAAACATGTTTTTCAGTATGGTGTTGTTGAAAGAAACGTGTATATTATATGTATTACAAAAAAAGAAAGATAAAGTCATATCCATCCGGCCTGATCTCAGTTGTGATGAATTTTTCACCAAAACATGTCTTAAATATTATCATAATGTTGAAAATAGACCATTTTGTGAAAAAAGTGACTGTGTAAACCCTCTCCCTTACTATATGATAAATATGTTTCGGATGGCAATTTTTTCTAGAGAAATAATGATTTGGCAATTAAGCTCCGCCCCTGGACTCACGGCGAATACAAAAAATGGTGGGTGGGCGGGGCTTCTCTTTTTTTTCTTAATATACCTAGTCTTCTTTTCACAACAAGATAATTAAAACCATATTTATAATGGAAAATTTTTGTAGAGAAATATCAAATTTGCAGTTAAACTCCGCCTTTCGGTTTGACAACGAATGAAAAATTTGTCACGATTGAACTCAAGAATGAGTAGGGGTTACCTTTTGGCTTTCTTTTTTACTTAATACATTTAGTTTTCTTTGAACAACACGATTAATTTAGAATATGTTTCACATGGTAATTTCTCATAGAAAAATAAAGATTTTTCAATTAAGCTCCGCCCCCCTCTTGCTCACGATGAACAAATAAAAATCGTCACACCTGAATCAGGGTGGGTGGGCGGAGCTTATGATTTGTTTTTTCTTTCTTATTGGAATACACACTCAGGACAAGAGACTGAAAACATATTTAAAATGGTAAACTTTATCCCCCACTATTTTCTAAAAATTTATCATTTTAAACAAGTTTTCAATTTCTTGTCGTGAATAGAAAACTACATACATATATTAAGAGAAAAAGGCACACTATATAATCCCGCCCACCCGCCCTCATCTCAATTGTTATGGTTTTTTTATTCGTCGTGAGCCGAGGGGCGGAACTTAATTGCAAAATACTTATTTCTCTACAAGAAACTACTATGTGAAACATGTTTTTAAGTATCATCTTGTTAAAAAAAACTACATATGTTAAGAAAAAAAAAAGTTAAACATAATCCCCACCCACCTGGCCCAACCTCAATTGTGATGAATTCTCCGACCGAGGGGCGGAGCTTAATTGTAAAATAGATGCTTCCCGACAAAAATCTATCATCTTAAACATGTTTTAGATATCTTGACGTGAAAAGAAAATCACGTATATTCAAAACATCCAACATCCGCCATCTCAATTGTAATGATTTTTTTTATTCGTCATGAGCATGGCGGGCGCAATTTAATTGCAAAATCCTTATTTCGCTAAAGAAATTACAATCTGAAACATGTTTTTCAGTATAGTATTTTTGAAAAAAACTTGTAAATATTGAGAAAAAAAAAAAAAGAAAGATAAAGCCCCACCCACTGGCCTGATCTCAGTTGTGATGAATTTTGCACTAAAACATGTTTTAAATATCATCACATTTTTGAAAATAGACGATTTTGTGAAAAAGGAAACTGTGTAACCCCCCTCCCTTACTATGCAAAATATGTTTCAGATGGTAATTTTTTGTAGAAAAATAAAGATTTACAAAAAATCACCACAATTGAGATGGGGTGGGTGGGCGGGGCTTCTATTTTTTTAAATTTTTTTTCACAACAAGATAATTAAAACATATTAAAAATGGAAAATTTTTGAAGAGAAATACCAAATTTGCACTTAAGCTCCTTTCGGTTTGACAACGAATGAAAAATTCATCACGATTGACATCGACAATGGCTTTCTTTTTTTCTTAATTCATTTAGTTTTCCTTGAACAACATGATTACTTAAGAACGTGTTTCACATGGTATTTTAACGTAGAAAATTAAGATTTTGCGTCTATGCTCCTTGCTCATGACGAACACAGAAAAATCGTCACAACTGAAATAGGGTGGGTGGGCGGGGCCTATGATTTGCCTTTTCTTTCTTCTTAATATACATACTCTTCAAAACAAGAGACTCAAAACATGTTTGAAGTGGTAAATTTTATTCTCCACTCTTCTCTACAAATTTACCATTTTAAACAAGTTTTCAGTTTTTTGTCATGAATAGAAAACTACGTACATATATTAAGAAAAAAAGAGATAAAATATATAACCCCGCCCACCCACCCTCATCTCAATTGTGATGACTTTTTTTATTCGTCGTGAGCTGTGGGGCGGGGTTTAATTGCAAAATGCTTATTTCTCTACAAGAAACTACTACGTGGAACATGTTTTTAAGTATCATATTGTTGAAAAAAAACTATATATGTTAAGAAAAAAAAAAGTTAAACATAATCCCCACCCACCTGGCCCAACCTCAATTGTGATGAATTGTTTATTCGTTGTCCGACCGAGGGGCGGAGCTTAATTGTGAAATAGACAAAAATCTACCATCTTAAACATGTTTTAGATATCTTGACGTGAAAAGAAGATCACGTATATTCAGAAAAAGGGCCAAATTTAAGCCCCGCCTACCCCACCCGCTGCCATCTCAATTGTAATGATTATTTTTATTCATCGTGAACCAGGGGTGGTTTTAATTGCAAAATCCTTACTTCTCTACAAGAAGTTACCATCTGAAACATGTTATGGTCTTGTTGAAAGACACCTGTATATAAGTATTAAGAAAAAAAAACAAAGATAATTTCCGAAACTACTGGACTGTTTGTTGTAAAATTTTATATATGAGTTAATAATATCGCATTGAATTAAAACGCGAACCAAAATTAATCTAATCATCC